GTATTGAAATATAAAGCCTTTCCCTTTTCTTCTATAGTATCTCCCTCAACTTCTCATGGTGTTTTTTAGTTTTAATGCACTTGACAGTAAAGGAAAATTAAAAATTTAAGTCAACGGCATGAATTTCACCATTTCTCTTTATATTGTACAAAGGCAGTTTCAAATGCAAATATAAAAGCATTTCACTCCTGGGTTGTTTTAGTAAGCTTTTTCACTTCTGTGACTAGAACAATTTTGGAGGAGGAAAAGTTTATTGAGGGCCTCACAGTTTCAGAGATCTTAGTCCATATAAGGCCAGGTTCACTCCTCAGGGCTTGAGGTGAGGCAGAACATCATGGTGAGAGAATGTGATACAGGAAAACAGTTCACATGATGATCAGAAAGCCGAGGAAGACTTCACTTGCTGGATACAAATATATACCCCAAAGGCACGCCCCCAATGACCTACCTCCTCCGGCCACACCACACCTGCCTTCAGTTACCACCCAATTAATCCTATCAGGTGATTTGAATTAACTGCTTGGGTTAAGCCTCTCACAACCCAATAATTTCTCCTCCAAACCTTCTTACACTGTCTCACACATGAGCTTTTGGGGGACACCTCAAAAGGCCAAAATCACACGACTCCCATGGCACAGCTTCCTCAGGCATGTATGTTCCATTCTTCCTAGGACTGTGGGAAGGCTGCGTAAAATCGACTCAGTTATTTTGATTTCACTTTGTTGTTTTAACAATACCCTCTTCCTTTGCTAACTAATGAATAAGAAAGGCCTGGAGGGAAAAGGAACTATGACTTTTCTTTTCCTATATTATATTTAGTGTAAGTGGTTGGTTGACACAGGAAATAACACGAATAGTAAACAATATGATAAGACTCCTCTTTTTCTAGAATGACACTGCCTCTTTCTGTGCTCAGAAGAATTCTGGTTCCTAAGGGAAATGTGGCCTCTTTGGGCTGTCATCAAACTCTGCTTGCTCAGCTGCAGACCAGTCGTACTTATCTTGCACTGACCTTGAGTCTCTATAAACTTCCACACACCATGGGTCCCCTGGAACTCTGTGTTCATGGGGTACTGTGTATGCTGTCTGTGAATGAGGTGGCAAGGAATGGTGGCCTGGTCTTGTGCTATCTCCTCTGTTTCTGTGCATGCTCCACTGACCCACCAGACTTTACTTAAAGTAAAAACCCAACTTTTTTTTTATTAATATTTTCAAGACAGCAATGGCAGAACATTAAACCAAATGTGGAGTCCTTCTTGAGTGCAGAGCCCTGAGAAATTGCACAGGTTGCAGGCCCCTGAATCCTGTGAGGATCTAAGTTAGAAGTGAACTTATATCTGATACCTAAGATGAATTTCTTAACACATTATCAGAGCTTTTAATAATGTAGGGCAATGTATTGGCAGAGTGATCAAAAAAATGTCAAGAGAAATTTTTAAGAGGAGAAAATAGGAAACATTGAACAGGTATACCTGTGTCCTGTGATGATTATTACTGTGGTCTGAATGTTTGTAACCCCTAAAACACGTATGTTGAGTCCTAACCACCGAAGTGGTGATGGTATTATGTAGAACTTTTGGTTGATAGACTTTTTTTAGCTTTGAATATATAATGTCATTATCTCGTGGCCTCCATGTTTTCTGATGAGAAATTGCCTGTTAATTTTACTGATGATTCTTTATACCATAATGTGTTGCTTTTGTCTTGCTATTTTCAAGATTCTCTTTTGATCATTGACTCTTCATGGTTTTATTTTAATATAACCCCATGTGACTGTTTCTGAGTTTGTGATACTTGGCATTTAGCGATGTATAATTAATGTTTTTCGTTGTATTTGGAAGGTTTTGACCATTATTTCTTCCAATAATTTTTCTGCCCCTCTGTCTCCTTTCCAAGGATCTCCCTTTATGCATATGTGCTTGGTGTTGTCCCAGAGGTCTCCCTTTACACACATGTGGGTACATTTGATGGTATAACAAGATGGCAGTTGGAGACTACTCATTTTTCTTACTTTTTCTCTTTTTTGCCCCTGAGACTGTATAATATCAATTCATCTATCTTCAAGTTTGCTGAGTCTTTCTTCAGCATGCTCAGATCTACTGGTGAATGCCTCTGGCAAATTTTTCAGTTCAGTCATTCCAGTTTTGAACTCCAGAATTTTTGTTTGGTTCTTATTTATAACTTCTGTCTCTCTGTTGATATTCTTTATTTGGGGAGACATCATTCTTATATTTTCTTTTATTCCTTTAGACATGGTTTCCTTTAGTTCTTTGGTCATGTAATGTCTGTGTCCAGGAAGTCCAGTGTGTAGACCCTAAAGGTGCAGATTTTATTGGTTTTACCTCTGTGTCTACACTTTCCTGATTCTTTGCATGTCTTATAAAATGAACATTAACCCATTAAATTTCAGGTTTTCAGTTTCTGTGAATATTTCAACAAAATTCACACAGCTGCATTAACATAGATTGGAAATTATATACAGCTTATACATATTATTGTATTAATTAATATTAAGCAATACTAATTAATGTTATGTTATGATAAAATTATGTTATTATTAAATAATCATGTAATATATTACAAATTATAAACTATATTCAAGTTTTTATAGGTGTTCCATATCTGAGACCATAGGACAAAGTGGGTTAATGACATATGAAGAGGATTGGGGCTGTAGCTCAGTGGCAGAGCACTTGACTAGCATGTGCGAGCACTGCATTCTATCCTCAGCACCACATAAAAATGAACAAATAAGGGCATTCTGTTCATTTACAACTACAAAAACATTTTTTTAAAAAAATAATATGTGAAGAAATTCTGGAAAATTTGATCAATAGGTTAGATTTGAACCTTAATTAATTAATTTGTTTATTTTACTGGGGATTGAACCCTGGGCATTTTACACCACGCTACATCTCCAGTTCTTTCTTTTTTTTTTTTTTGGAGACAGGGTCTCACTAAGTTTACTGAATCTGACCTTGAATTTGCAATCCACTTGCCTCAGCTAGGATTAACAGATGTGTGCCACTGTGCCCAGCTTGAATTTTAATTTAGAAATGCTTCCATTTTCATGTGTTAGGGCAATTCTTAAAATGTTTTTGAACAATTTTTAGAAGCAATATTCAGAAAGGTCATAGAACTGGATTGCTTTTCCATGAAGTTAACCCTTTAATTCTTTGAAACAAGATGTGATGATTCCCAGTTAATACAATAAAAAGTGATTTATTCTACTGTAAATTATGAAAAGACAGGTATGTAAAAATGCCTTCCAAAATTTAGTTGACTTTTAAAACTGGTGCGTATTCTGGGAAATTCAGGAAATATTATCTATTTAGTATTTTTTGAGTGGATTTATTTATGAGAACTGGATCATTGCTTCTCATGAATCTTACCAACATTGAACCCTGTCCCTTGTTTTTTATTATCCATCTTTCATTTCCATTTTTTCTCCACAATAAATAGTTAAGAATATCTTGACTATTTTCAAAACTTAACATTATTTTTATTTTTATAAAATAGGGATTGCAATCTACTTACCCACCTAACAGGGTTGCTGAGAGTTTCATATGATACTTGTTACATCTCAACAAACCATACACTGGCTTCTGTGGCTTCCTCATACATTTCTTTGAGTGTTCTTTTACCCCTTTCATATGAAATTGCTAACAAGAGGATATATCTTAATTGATCTTACTAGTAACCAGAATCTCAGCATTTCTGATGTGATCAAATTGTTGCCACAGGTTTTCATATGTGATGGGATCTGTTATTTTTAGTACCATTTGTAATAACTCAAATGTTAGCAATTTTTTGTATTCTCTCATCATCGGTTCCTTAAATGGCTTGCCAACTTTATCTCTGTTTTCTATCAAAAACTTAACATCCCCCCCCCCAAAAAAAAAGAAAGAAAAGAAAAACCCCAATCAATAAATGGGCTAAGGAACTGAACATACACTTCACAGAAGAATAAATACAATTGATCAACAAATATATGAAAAAGTATTCAACATCTCTAGCAATTAGAGAAATGCAAATCAAAACTACTCTAAGACTTCATCTCACCCCAGTCAAAATGCCAATTATCAAGAATACAACCAACAATAAATGTTGGCAAGGATGTGGGAAGGAAGATACACTCATATATTGCTGGTGGGTGTAAAAATTGGTGCAACCATTATGGAAAGTGGTATGGAGATTCCTCAGAAAACTTAGAATGGAGCTACCATTTGACCCAGCTATCCCACTCCTTGGTTTATACCCCAAAGATTTAAACTCAGCATATTACAGTGACACAGCTACATCAATGTTTATAGCAGCTCAATTCACAATGCTAAACTATGGAAGCAATCTAGGTGCCCTTCAACAGATGAATGAATAAAAAAGGTGTGGTGTATATATATGATGGAATATTGTTCAGATTTAAAGAAGAGTGAAATTATGGCATTTGCTGGTAAATGGACGGAGCTGGAATATATCATGCTAAGCAAAATAAGCCAATCCCCAAAAGCCAAAGGCCAAAAGTTTTCTCAGCTAACTCACAATGGCGGGGGGGGGGGGGGGGGGACAGTAGGGAAGAATAGAGTTATTTTAGGTAGAGGTGAGTGAAGGGAGTGGAGGGGACATGGGAAAGACAGTAGAATGAATCAGACATTATTATTCTGTGTACAAATACTATATGACCAGTGGGATTCTACATTATGTACAAACAAAAGAATGAGTAATTATACTTCATTATATATGATATATCAAAGTGCATTCTATTGTCATGTATAATTAATTAAAACAAATTTAAAACTTTAAAAAATCTTAACAATTAAATTAAAACATCAGAAAACATCAGATTTAAAATTTTTTAATTTTAAATGCTAAATGTCAGTTAAATTTTTAAAAAAGCTAAACAACTCAAATTTCAAATGTAGATTTAAAATGTAAAGTATATGAAAATGTAAAGTTAATGTTAATCTGAAATTTGAAAGCATCCAGAAAAAAATTGGAAAAATTCATAAAGAAACATTCCTGTCAAAGACATCAAAAAGATTCTTGATAAAGTTGGTCTGCCACTCCAGGCTCACAAATTTGGTGAAGTAGGTGGAGTTGACATTCAGAAGCTGATCATCAGGTAAACTGGCTCTTTTGGTGACATGGCTTTCTGTGAGTTGGCATTTTGCAGATTGTGTTGCTTCCTGGGTGGGAGAGAGCATGCTGATGGGACAGAAAATGCAGATAGTCTGTATATAGTATTGTCTTCTAAATATTTTACAAGCATGGTTTGATGTATTGATTTACCTAGGGACCCCTCTCATCTCCCATCATTTCCAACAAAAAGTGACTTTGTCCTTACCTGAATCTTCAACTGGCTCCCTCCTGCTACAGTATAATTTGGAAGAGAGTTTTTTTTTTTTTTACCTCTTCTCTGTCCTTGAGTCCCCCAACATGCACTTAGATACTTTGAGCATTAAAGTAAAGTGATTTTACCATCAGATTTCCCAATCATGAAGTCTCTATTGTGCATTTACCTACTTACTTGGAATCCTGGAGTTTTGATGCTGGGAACTGTTCCTTTTAATTGACTCTGGTAGTACCGTCACTTGTGACTGAGAAGTGGTCTCTGTACACCTGCAACTGCAGCCCGTCAACAACACACAGGCCTGTGAGGAGCGACAGTAACTTTCAGTGCACTGGGGGCTTCCCAGATTACTCTATCTTCTTTCAAATTCTTGCCTTGCCTTTACTTTGTGGAGAAGAAGAATATCCTATAATCAAGTTTCCTTCTCCCCTCCTATATTTCTCATGGCTCTTGGAAGTTCTGTCTTGTGACCTGTTATTTCCTCAGAATCGATTGATATTTTGAGAGTCTACCATGGGCAGCCGCTGTTCCAGATAATATAAATGCAACAGAGAACCAGAAGACAAAATTCCCGCCTTCATGGTGCTTATAACCTAGTCAGAGACGTAGCAGCTGTGATGAAATGTCAGGAAGTGATCCATGAAGTAAATAAGACAGGGTGGTGAGAGAGAGAACACAAGGAGTAGATGGTCTTTTAGGCAGACTCATCTGAGAAGGCCTGAATGATGTGTGTGTGGGGGGGAATATGTGGGGGGAAGATACCTTTGTCTTGAATGTTCAGATAATGATCATTCATAAAGTTTTATTATGATTATTTATGAATTTAAAAGTTTTTATTATAGAAGAATTTAAATCTATAAAAAAAATAGAGTTAATGGTATACTGTACCCCCAGGTACCCATTATCCATTAGCATGCATGATTACCAACTCAAGGACAAATTTATTTCCTTGAAACCTCCTTCTCTCTACATTTCCTTGATTATTATTATTGTTGTTGTTATTATTTGGTACTGGAGATTGAACCAGGGGCACTTTACCAATGACCTACATGCCCAATTTTTTTAATTTGTATTTTAAGACAGATTCTCCCTAAGATGCTGAGCCTGGGCTCAAATTTGTGATCCTCAGCCTCCCAAGCTCCCTCCCACAGTGGCACTACCATGTCCAGCTCCATTTCCTGGATTATTTTAAAGTAAATTCCAGAATCATATTATTTCATCTGTTACTATTTCGGTACATATCTCTCTAAGAAATGACTTCTCTTTTCAAACATATCTACGATGTCATTATATTACATCCCTCAAATAATTTCTTAATATCATCAAATATTCATTTAGTGTTCATGTATCTTCCAATAGTTCATGAACTTTTAAAAAATAATAGAACACCAACACAATTTCTGCTAGTCCCAGTGTCATTTCCTTTAAGGCATTAGACTAAAAATATTAATTACATACCAACAACATTTGCTTTTAGGTCCTGTCTGTTCCATGACAGGTGTAGCCCTGAATGCTAATTAGTTTACAATGACTGAAAAGTAAAGGAATGATAGCAGAGTATCCCATTGATTCATATGCAATTTTTTCTAGCACATTAATATTTTTTACCATTATGTAATAGTAGCTGAACAAATTGAACGTAGCCAACAAATTGAAGTGGGTTATTTTGTTTTCTCTGTAACTCAGCAGCCTCAGCCGTTCCTCACACCTCCTCTGTTGCAACCCCTAATTTACTATGTCTACTGTAATGTCTTCTGTTAGAACCTAATATTTTTTTTAAACTTTCAGGATTCTTGCTCCATTGTTAGCGAGGTGGTTACAAAGTTACATAGGCTTCTAAGCAGTCTTTCTCAATCCTGTTTTTTCAACACAGTAAAAAGCTCTTTAATTATTTTATATCCTGGATGATGGGTGAAGATACTGAGCTGTGAAAATCAAAAAACATTATTAAAAATAATTTTAAAACAGTACTATTATCCATAATTTGCAAGAGAGTTCACTAATGGATTCTGCATTTATCCCTCACCTCAAATTCACAGTGGATCAGAAAGCTTTTAGGAGAATGGAAAGCTGTAATTTGTTGCTCACTGAGGGATGGCTTGTAAAAATAGTAAATGAATAAAATATGTTCAGAGACATAGATATTGTGTTTTTATCCTGGATTACAATGAGAATACAAAGTAGGTTACTACCAAAGTCCTGGGTGAACTGTCAAGAAGATGATAGATAAATCTCAACAAGGAAAATGTTCCCTAATTCACTATATCAGACCAGGTACTTACCTTTATCTGAAATGCCAACACCCTGAATTTCCCAGGTAGTTACACAATCGGGTGGTACCAACTCCAGCTGAAGCCTGGAAGATAAAATAGTCCATAGCCAAGAAACACAGGTGGGCCTTGATTAGCGGGCAACCAGCGTGGTGCCATCTGTTAATCAGAACGTTCGTACATTTCTCATAGGGGCTCTTGAGGCAAATCACAAGGAAACCAACTTAAATCAATGGCCGTGAGTGAGGATGAGACCAAGAAAAGATTAGAAGATCAGAGGATAACGGCGGAGCCCTTTACATATTCAGAACAACTGCTTAGACACTGTATTAAGTTGAACCACATGAAATTATTGTTTGTGTCAGCCAAAATGTTTGAAAACCAGCAGATATATATGATTCAACTTAATATAAACTCCTGTGTTTTGTGTTCATTATCTTACTTTCACAATAAGGACTTCAAGGGATTATGATATTATAAACTATCAAATAAAATTAAATTATATTTAGTGAACCCTACTAAGAAAAGTGGAGCATAAAAACAAACATGGTCGAAAATTGAATTTTTGGAAATCAAAAGTCCCTAATTTATCTGCTCTGTGAACATTTCCTAAGTGTCCATCAAGTACCAGGCACATCCTAGACTAAATAAAGAGATACATAACAAAGGGTGTGCCTTCAAGGAATGTACTCTAGAAGAGGAGGGAGATATGGAAACAAATTATCAGAGAAGATAGTAAGTGCTTCAGTTCGAAGCTTGTACAAACTATAGTGTGCAGAAAAATCATGTATTTAATTCTCTGGAGTTCACATTGTGGAGAACCCATGATCTGAGTTGGTTTTTTGAAAGTGAGCTGGAGTTTATCAGGAGTGGGGAACTAGGAAAGGATTTCCAGGAAAAGGTCTGGAGGCTGCAGGGGCATGCATTGCTGGAGCAGAAAGCCAACAGCAGGGGGCCAGGGCAGTCCCTGCAGGGAGAAGAAGCTGGAGCTGTCGGGGAGAGGGGCAGGAGCAGGCACTCTATCCACATAGATTCCACCCCATGGGGAAGCAACATGAGTGGACTCAGAATTTAACATAATGATTTGGTGGCTGTGCTGGGAGAATAGAAGAGAAAAGTGGGTAAGACTGGAGTTGGGGGAGTGAAGGATGCTGTTGGACATCAAACAAGGTGTGATAACAAAACCAACATTTTCTAAGCCATATGGCTAGTTAGTATCTTACAGAATGTGTTTTTTATATGAGGAAAATATTGACTCTTTTTCCTTGTTATATAGAAAAATATCATTGGAAATGCATGTCGACATGGACAATATATATTGTTAGTTTTTATAAAGAGGTTGTTTGGAAAGACCAAAATAATTATGCAAAAGTGCAAAGCCCAGAAATCACCCCAAAATACAGACAAGCTCAGTTATTGTTTGAGGCAAGTTGAATGAAATTCTTCTGCAAAGATCCTTCATTTTGTAGTCAATCAGAGACTGAGGGAAAGATCATCCCAACCACCAACCAAATAACCCTGATCCAATGTCAGTACTATCTTTAATTAATGAAGGAAATTTTAGAAGAGTGGCAGACCATATATTCATCATATTTGAATGTTTTCTAAGTTTCCTAATGAAAATAAAGATAAAAGTTTAAAATACCTTTTTGGAATGTGATACACTTTCCACAACCAGTTTTCTAAAACTGTCTTCATCACCAATATGTTTGGTGATATGTCTAAAATAAAATAAAATAAAACCACAGGGATTGGCAATGTAGCTCAGTGGTAGAACACTTGCCTAGCATACATGAGGCCCTAGGTTTGATTCCCCAACATCACAGGAAAAAAGAGGAAGGAAGGAAGACAGGAAAGGAAGGAAGGAAAGAAGGAAGGAAGGAAGGAAGACAGGAAAAAACATACAGTTAAACATAACATACAACAGAGTTATATGTTAAAGCAGGATGGTTAATTTTTTCTTTTCTTTTCTTTTTTTTTTTTTTTTTGGTACTGGGGATTGAATTCAGGAGGATTTAACCACTAAGCCATATCCCCAGCCCTTTTTAATTTAGGGTCTTGCTGAGTTTCTTAGGGCCTCACTAAGTTGCTAAGGCTGGCTTTGAGCTTTCAATCCTCCTGCCTCAGCCTCCCAATCCCCTGGGATTACAGTCATGTGCCACTGCGCCCGGCTAAAGATGGTTAACTTTTAATTAATAATTGTAAGGAATTCAGTCAAACATTTAATTTTTGCGATATCAAAATAGGAACCATAAAAGTGTTAATTTAAGCTATCTAAAATATATTAACTTGGAATGGAACCACCATTTGACCCAGATATCTCACTCCTCTGTCTATACCCAAAGGACTTAAAAACAGCATACTACAGGGACACAGCCACATCAATGTTTATAGCAGCACAATTCACAGTAGCTAAATTGTGGAACCAACCTAAATGCCCTTTGATAGATGAATGAATAAAGAAACTGTGGTATATATACACAATGGAATATTACTCAGCATTAAAAGAGAATAAAATCATGGCATTTGCAGGCAAACGGATGGAGTTGGAGAATATCATGCTAAGTGAAGTAAACCAATCCCTCCAAAACAAAGGCTGAATGTTTTCCCTGTTATGTGGATACTGATCCATAATGGGGATGGGGGATGGGGAACATGGGAGAAATGAATAAACTTTGAATAGGGCAAAGGGGAGAAAGGGGAAGAGAGGGGACCTGAGGGTAGGAAAGACTGTGGAATGAGATGGACATCATTACCCTAGGTACATGTATGAAGACACGAATGGTGTGACTCTACTTTGTGAACAACCAAAGACATGAAAAATTGTGCTCTGTATGTGTAGTATGAATTGAAATGCATTCTGCTGTCATGTATAATAAATTAGAATAAATAAATAAATTTAAAATTAAAAAATAATAAAATGTATTAAGTGCAAAACCCAAGGCACAGAATGGTGATATCCTCTAGGTATAAAACAAAAGATACAGATATAGATCCAGATGCAAATGTTTGTATAGTAAACAACTTTTCTTAGAGGAGATAAAATTGTCCACAATTGCCATAAATTGGACAGCAAGTAAAGCCAAGCACTTTTTAAAATTTTTATTTTTTAGTTTTAAGTGGACACAATATCTTTATTTTACTCACTAAGTTGTTAAGGCTGGCTTTGAACTCTCAATCCTCTTGCCTCAGCCTCCCCATCCCCTGGGCTTATAGTCATGTGCCGCTGTGGTTAACTTTTAATTAATAATTATAAGGAATTCAGTCCTGAATTTAAAAATGGATGGGAGGGCGGGGCTGGGGTTGTGGTGCTGAGGAGCGAACTCAGTGCCTCATGCATGCTAGGCGAGCACTCTACCACTGAGTCACAACCCCAGCCCAGTCAAGGACTTTTACCTTGAACTTCGTACTCTTCTATACAGTATTACTTTTATGAAGGAAACTAGTATAACATTTTAACAGGATAAAGAAGGATGACCAAAGTGAATCAACAGGAAGAAAAGGATATAAAGAAATAGAAAACAAGGGAACAGAAATAAGTATAGTCTCAACAAACTGAGGCAGGTTTCAAATATCCCCTTTAAAGTGAGAAATTCTCGAACTGTTAAAGAAAAAACAATCCTCAGCAATAAATGGATTTAAAAAAAATATGTAATGCCACCAAAATGATGTGGGAAGTTTAAAAATAAAGGAACAGAAAGCCATGTACTGGTCAAATAGGACAATAGTAAGCTACAGAGAAAATAATAACTTTCGATAAAATAGAGCTCACAATGCTCAATGAACAAAGAGGAGTATTTTATGTAGATAAAATTATGATTTACTAAAACTACAGAACAGACATATGCCTTTTGCACTTAACATAGCTTTGAAATACATAAAGCAAAACCTGATAGAAATAGGAGACAACTTAAACATTTATAATTAAAAATAGTTAATTCACTTAAAAATTTCAGAAGAGAACAACCAATGAAGAAAGTAGAAGGAAGAGGTTAGTGGGATATAGAGAGAGAAACATCAATCCCAGAAGCTCTAGACAAATTTTACCAACTATTAAAAACTCCTTGGGCTGGGGCTGTAGCTCAGTGGTAGAGCGCTTGCCTTGCACGTGTGAGACACTGAGTTCATTCCTCAGCACCACATTAAAAATGAACAAATAAATATATAAAGGTATTGAAAAAAAAAAACCAACTCCTGATGCTATAAACAAGGGTTGGAAGAAAATACTTGCAACATATTAATTATATGTTTATGTCTGTATGTTTGTGTGTATGCACTTAATACACATACCTATATTTGCAATTTATATAACAGAGAAGGGTTGGCTTCCATGATGTTTGACAATGTCTATAAAACAACAGGCAAAAAGATAGACAAGGCAAAGAAAAATTGGCCAAGATGGAAAAGGGTAATCACAGAAGAACTATCAGTGTCCAATAAACATATAAACATATGTTCTGGTCATCAGTTTACATGGAATCATTAATTTTCTTAATAAAGTAAGACACTTCCGACTCAGCAGATTGACAAAAATTAAAGATTTTGGCAAGGGGGCAGAAAAGTCAGCTTTTGTGGGGAGTAGAAATTGTTACCATCCATTTTGTTTTTTTAAAGAATTTTTTAAAAATGAATTTAACCTTTATTTATTTATTTATTTTTATGCGGTGCTGAGGATCAAACCCAGGGCCTCATCCACGCTAGGCAAGTGCTTTACCACTGAGCCACCACCCCAGCACACCCTGCCACCATCCATTTTTAAATATATATCAAGTCCAAGAATGTACCCACTCTGATTTAGCAATTCTACCTTCAGACAATGTGCTACTGGCTAAGTGTTTGTGTGCTCCCATGTGTTGATGCCCTGATGTGATGAGTTTTGGAAGGAGGCCTCTGGGAGGTTATCAGGTCATGGCAGTAGAACTTTCTTGTTGGAATTAGTGGTCCTATAAGAAAAGGACAAGGGCTAGCCTTTTTTCTCTATCTTGTAAGGATACCAGGAGAAGATAGCAGTCTACAAGTAAGGAAGAAGGCCCTTAGCAAACACCAGATTCCATAGGCCCCTGGCCTTGGCCTTCTCTGTCTGCAGAACTGTGAGAAATCAATGTTTATAGTTTAAATTCCTCCTCTATAGTATTTTTGTTATAGTAGTCAGAACTAAGACATAATGATATCTATTTTACCAAAATATACATACACATAAAAAAGATCAAAATTATAGTTTTGCTTTTTTCTTAGGAGTTTCTAATATTGAAAATGTGGGAAAATATTTAAATACTTATTGTAGGTGTCCCTAATAAGGTATGTCCAAATTTTTACTGTGATCCTAAAAAGATATGTCTAAATCCCCTGGTACTTGGGAATGTGAATTCAATTGAGAATTAAGTTAATTGTCTTGAAATGAGACATACTGGATTAGAGTGGGCTCAAATTCCTTATGAGATGTCTTAATTAGGTATAACATTAAAAGTGTCCTTATAAGAGACAGAAAAAGAGAAGACACAGAAACATAGGGGAGATGGCCAAGTGAAGCCAGAGGCAGAGATTGGACCAATGTATCTGTAACCCAAAGAACACCAACAATCACCAGCAGCCATCAGACACATGAAGAGCTAAGGAAGGATTCTGTACTAGAGACTCTGGAAGGAGCTGACTTTGCTGACACCTTTCGGACTTCTGGCCTCCAGAACTGTGAGAGAATGAATTTCCATTCTTTTAAGCCACCAAGTTGGTAGTAATTTGTTATGGCGGTCCCAGAAACAAATGTGACCAGTAAGATATAAACAATGAAGAAAAATGAAGACATGGTAGTATTATTAAGTACTATGCAATTATTTAAAAAGAATGAGGCAGATTTCTCTGCTCTAATGTGAAAATGAGTTCATGATATTTGTCAACACTTAAGAAAAGCACATTGCAGAAAGGCATGAATCCCATTTATGTAGTGTGATCCCAATTTATGTAGAAATCTCCTAACTGTAGTTAACATTGTGGAGAGGGTGACAGACATTTTGAAATGTTTGCTCTTCTTCTTATTATTATTTTACTGATTTTTCTCCTAAATTTTTTGTGGACTTCCTTTTAAACTTGAGCTAGATTACTTTTATTTATTTAAGCTATAAAAATATATGCACTCATAAATTATGGTAGGGTTTCCCTTATACTAGCACCATTACTGAGGATTTAAGATAAATTTTATATTTTAAAATACATTTAGGGGCTGGGGTTGTGGCCCTGGGTTCGATCCTCAGCACCATATAAAAGTATTGTGTGTAACTACAACTAAAAAATAAATATTTTTTAAAAAATAAAATACATTTTGAATCTTATTCATATGCTTTCACACATTCATGGAAAGACATAAGAATGTCTTTTTAAATATGTGGGAAAATATAATTTTTAATAAACTACCTACTTGTTTGAGTACCATTTTAAACAAAAATTTCAATATTTTTCTTAGCTACCGTCTGTCTTAAGTTCATTTGTATGTTTCCCCAAATAGTATAGTTAAATAGAATGCAAAAGAAAATACGTTAAAAAGTAGGGCAGTAAAATTGAAAAAATGTTAATAAATTATTCTCATCATTCTTTGATTTGTACAAAGCCTAAACCCTGTGAAAATGAACTAAAGGAAACTCTTGTCTGTATATGCCTACTGAGATTCCTTTTACTTCTGATTCACCTTTTTCTTTCACTAATTAATTACAGAAAGAAGCATTTTTCAGTTTAATATCAAGAAAGATTTCTCAACTTAATGTCATCCACAAACTTTATCAATACCAGCATCAGTACTAATATAAAGGCTTTAAGCTGTAACCAAGTCCTAACATTTAGCCATCAGAAGGAGGAGAAGGTAGGAGAAGAGGAAGGAGGAGGAGGAGGAGGAGGAGGAGGAGGAGGAGGAAGAGAGCATGCATTAGCTAGATAAAGCACCAACTTCTAGTACATCTTTTTGGTTTGTGGTGAAATCATGGATGATATTTTGATTCTTCAAAGTATGTTATTGTTTTTATGCAATATTTTAAAAATCATGCTCCTTGTAGCCAGTGAAGTCTGCAGAAAATCAATATCACACAATCATGCAAATATTTTCATTTTACAAATTGGCTCTTAGAGGATAAATCAAGACCTACGACTTTAAAAATGAGTTAGTGGTGATGTGGGATTAGTGATCCCCAAACTGGTATGACTGTGCTTCTGATTCTGCTTTTTGAGGTGAACTGCAGGAGTTGACTTCATCTTTTGTACATCAAAGCCCAGTTTGGAATCACTTCTTCCTGTGGCAGTACAAACTCCACCCAGCACTTTCCTACTGCACTGCATATGGAGTGGAAGCTTTTACACCTACCTGACCTTGCTATGGTTACATCAATGTGAGAACTGTTTGCCCGAAGCTCACTTGCCAGGTCACAGCACTTCAAGAAAGCTTTGGAACACTGCTGGCCAACAGTAATCCTCAGAGCTCTCTCCCTGCAGCTCTCCTCACTTCCATGGGCTCCATCATAACAGCACTTCCGGATCACAGGGTGTCTGAATTGGGATGCTGAGACAATAACAAACAATTCTCAACCAAGTAGAGATTCAAAGTCTCAGGGCTGGACTTAGAGGCTCTGATCAAACTTCCTCCAACTATTTGATCAGCTCCCAGAATAGGAAATTGCCTCTTCCCCACTTGGCCTATTCCATTTCAGAGAGCTATAGAGTTGGCTGACTATGGACTAAGCCTCTAAAACCATGAACCAAAATAAAGTTTTCCTTCTCTACATTGTTCTTGGCCAGGGTTTTGATCACAGCAACAAAAAGCTGACTAAAACTGCAGTCAAGCTGCAGTCAGTAGGAAGCCCGGGTGGGTGCAAGAAGAGAATTTACTATTTTTTCAAAAACCACTGATCGGTGGGTTAGAATGATAATGTCCTTTCCTGTCATTTAGAGATGACAAAGGTGTGAAGTGATTGTACCTGCTAAGGGGCAGTGCCAGGGCAGGAACCAAGAGGCAATATCATGAGATGAAACATTGGACCATGTTTTTCTCCCATTTACTTAAACTTGGCCAGATACTTGAGTTTTCAGTGACTCACTTTGGCATAATGAAATACTGATCATAATTTCTCTAGGTTAGAGTGTGAGATTGCCACAAAGGGACTTTAAAATGAAACTGAGGCTTGGGGGGGATTTAGTGACTTGGTTAAGGACTTTGTCACTATAGAAAATGGACATGAGGAATACCTTATCTTTTAGGTGAAGACTATGCGGAACAAATGTGGGTTAATTTTACCAGTTTGCTTCACCTCTCTGATAGTGAAATCTGGAAGTATGTATAGACCTTTTCATCTGTTCTACATCAATTATCTAGAATGACAAAGTGTTGCAGATCTTGCATTATTCCATTATAACTTCTAGAGGAAAAAAATGAAAATTTGGAGCACCTAGATTTTCTATTTCCTCTTTCAAGGAACGTCTTGGTCTGAGAATTTTCTTATATGATTCATCTGTTAAAAAAAAAACACAGAAAGAGAACATCCCTTAGAATAAATGCTTCCATCAAATTATCTAAACACTCAAAGCATTTGCAAAATCAAATGGAACACATTTTATCAGATATCAGGTTCTATTTCCCATAGCAATTCTGATCTATACCATTAGTAAAGAACATGATTAAACACATTTCTGTAGCAGTGTCATTACATACTCTTTGCAAATGTATTGTCTCGAGATGCTCAAATAGGATTTTTAAAACGCAACAAATGCACATATTTTTATGGTGGTTTGTCTATCTCTTTAAAACACATTGAGTACTCATTTATTTCAGGCAAGGAACATAAATTTCAGTAAATCCTGTTCCTGTCCTCAAGAATGAAATGAGTTCATTCCATTGATGGTGTAACACCCTACTGAGTACAAGGGGATCATCATGGGCTGAATTGTGTCCCCCACAATTAATATGTTGAAGTCCTAACCTCCATGACCTCAGAATCTGAATGTATTTGGAGACAGGGGCTTTGAGGAGATAATAGGTTATATGAGGCCATTAGGGTGGATGCACGCAGAGGAAAGGCCATGTGAAGACAAATGAGAGGGTGGCCATCCGTAAGGCAAGGGGAGAGGTTTTGGGAAGAAACCAACTTTGCAACATCTGGATCTTGAACTTCCCACCTTCATAACTGTGAGGAAACAAATTTTCTCATTGCTTAAACCAACCAGTCTTTGGGGCTCTGTTACAGCAACCCTAGTAAACTACATTATGGGAGAAAAGGTAAGTTCTTCCAGGCCCACTTGGGAGTGGGGGCTGGAGCAGAAGGTGAAGCTTGAGCTTTCGTGGCAAATTAGAAGGGAAAGGGCACTCCAGGCAGAGGCATGACAGAATCCAGGCCCTTCTCAGGTACCTTAAGGAAGTGAATGACATTTGAGCACAAGGCCTTTGAAAGGAAAAGGTGGAAGAGAAGGATGAAAGATGAAGCCAGCTGGAAATGGGGGAGAGGATCTTGGAGGAGTTTGTTCCCACTCAAAATAGATTCCGATTTGGAGAGTTGATTGGAATCAGGTGAAGAATGCTGATAAAGCTATTTGATTTGTGCTGTGGAAGTGAAGGAATGGAAAAAGATAGTCTCTGCAAATGGTAACCTAAAAAAACGCCATAAGACAAAAAAGACTTTAAATCAGAAACTGTTATAAGAGACAAAGAAAGATGTTTTATGATAATAAAAGGGTTAGTCTACTAAAATGGTCTAACAATAATAAATATATATGCACCTAACATTAGAGCATCTAAACACACAAAGCTAACAATGACAAAACTGAAGGAAGAAACAGATAAAAATACATAAGAGTATGAGGCTTCAACACCCACTTTCAGTAATATATATGACCTCTGTATAGAAGATCAATAAGGAAACAGGAGTTAAGTAAGCACTGTAAACCAAAGGAACCTAATAGGCATAAACAGAACACGGCAACCAACAGCAGAAGAATACATATTCTTCTCAAATGCACACAGATCTTTCTCCAGACAGAAGACAAGGTAGGTCATGAATAAGTCTCAACAAATTTAAGAATACTGAAATCATACTAACTATTTTTTTTTACATTGCAATAGAATGGAACTACAAATCAAAAGAAGAAAAAACTGGGAAATTCCCAAATATGAAGAATAAACAACAGGGGTTGGGGATGTGGCTCAAGCAGTAGCACCCTCGCCTGGCATGCGTGTGGCCCAGGTTCGATCCTCAGCACCACATACAAACAAAGATGTTGTGTCCGCCGAAAACTAAAAAATGAATATTAAAAAAAAAAAGAATAAACAACATGCTCCTGAACTAGGTCAAGAATAAAAAGAAAGAAAGAAATTAGGAAATATATTGAGAAGGACTGGGAGTGTAGCTCAGTGACAGAGCACTTGCCTAGCATGTGTGAGACCTTCGATTTGTTCCCCAATGTGCATGCATGCATGCATGCATACACACACAGAAGATACACTGAGAATAAAAATGAAAACAAGTTTTATTAAAACAAATAAAAATGAAAACAAGTCATACCAAAACTTATAGGATCCATCAAAAGCAATACTAAGAGAAACATTCATAGCAATAAATGCCTACATTAAAAAAGAATAAAGATTTTAATTTATACTTCAAGAATCTAGAAAAAGAATAGACTTTGACCAAACATAAGGAAAGAAATGACAAAGATTAGAAAATAGAAAAGCAATAAAACTAAGAGTTGATTTTTTGAAAAGAAAAAACAAAATTGACAAACCTTTAGACAAATTAAAAAGAGAGAACTCAAATACATAAAATCAGCAATGAAAGAAGAAATAAAAAGGATGCTACAGAAATAAAAAGGATCATAAAATACTGCTATGAGCAATTACATGCCAACGAACTGGATAACCTAAAAGAAATGAGTGAATTTTTTGAAACACAGAATCTACTGTTAAATTTGGCCTGAGACTGCCTCTACACAGTGAGCTCCTGGGTAACGGACTACAACCTAATTTAATACAAAAACAAATTGAAAGTCTAACAAGAGCTTATTTTTTGTAATTATTAGCTAAGTCTAATCAATATGGTCTGCCAGCTGATCAGACCATATCCAAACAAGGCAAACACTGAAGCTGTTTCTTTCCCTCTCTTCTGTTTTCTGTATGTAAATGTGGATACTCCCAGCTCACACCGCAGTTAGAGCTCTCCAAACCTCTCCTAGTTCTGCTGGCTGTCCAATTTGTCAATTGTTTTTTGCTCAAAATTCTGCTGGATTTGCCAAGAGTTTTTCTTTTAGCACTACCAAGATGGAATCATGAAGAAATAAATTCTGAATTGACCAATTATTAGTATGGAAATTGATTAAGGAATAATAATAATATAAAAATCTTAAAATTTTCACTACATTGGTCTTGGCAATGATTTCAAAAATATAATATCAACAGCCTGGACAAAAAAACAAAAATAAATAAGCAGCACTGCATCAAAAGAGTTTCCACATAGCAAACAACCAACAGAGTGAAAAGGCAACTTGTTTAATGGGAAAAAAAATTTGCAAACCATACATCTGATAAATAGGGAGTTCCTATAACATAATACTAAAAAATGAATCACCCAATTTAAAAATGGGCTAAGAGCTCAAATAGATGCTTCTCATGAAGGAATAGAAATGGAAAATAGCTATATAAATAAATTGCTCAATATTGCTAAATGTCTTGAAATGCAAAATACAATCCAAAATGAGAAACCACCTCATACCTATCAATATGGCAATTATTTTAAAACAGGAGAGCAAGAGTTGGTGATGATGTGGAGATATTGGAAACCATATGCACAATGTTGGTGAAAATTCAAAGTAATGCAACTCTGGAGATTCCTCAAAAACTTCAAAATATAACTACTCTATGATCCAACAAACCCACTTGTAGGTATTCATCCAAAAGAAGTGAAATCAGAATCTCAAAGAGATATTATCATTCCCATGTTCATTGCAGTACTACTGACAACAGTCAAGAGGTGAAAACAACCTAAATGTACATTGACAAATGAATAGATGAAAAAAAGGTGGTAGACACTGGGATACAATCCTGCCCCAGAAAAAAAGAAAATTCTACAGTATGCAAAGGCCTAGATGAACCTGGAGGACATTATGCTAAGTGGAATAAGACACTCATAGCAAGACAAATAGTACACAATGCTACTTATATAAGGGATGAGAAATGAATTTAAGGATGGAATGATGGTTGCGAGGGGCTGGGGAGAGGGAGAATTGGGAGTTATTAATTAGCCAATGGATATGAATTTTCAGTTAAGCAAGATGAATAAGTCCACAGATCTATGTACAACATTGTACCTATCATCAACAGTCATGTATTGTACACTCAAGAATTTGTTAGGAGGGTAGATCTAATGTTAAGTTCTCTTGCAACAATAAAATAATTTTTAATTGTTTTGTTTTGCTTTATGATGTTTAATTGGAAACAGGATTTGGAGGAAGAATGAGTGCATGGCCAGGAAAAGCAGTGTGTTTTCACAGTAAGAACACTTGTGTTGCTTGACAGAACAGAATGAGTTACCATTTTGTAGGGAGTGGCCCACGTCTGTGTTGGTGAGGACCGTGAGTCCTGCTGAGTAGAACACCTCAGCATTGCTTCTGCCACCACTTGCTCCACAGCCCTGGTCACTTTTATCTAAAGCTCCAAGAACCTGTTAGAAAGGAGGTTATTCCCTTAAAAATACAACATTCAGAGACTGTTTGAGGGAGCACCGGACTCATGGAGAATGATAATTGCAAGTCACTCACTTACTGATTGGTTAAAACCTAATTCTCCAGTTTCCCCATGCCTTTCTTGCTTTCCCTAGTTTTCACCTATGGGTTTACAAATACACACTAGTCAAAATTGACCAGGAGCTAAATTTGAGGATATAATTCTGATGTGGAAGTTCTTAGAAAATGATTTATACTCTTCCTTCTTAAAGTTCTGAACACTGAATTAACTAATAAAATATCTGTTGAATCAATGAATAAGGAGAGGAAATACTCACTATCCCTCAGGGTCCTTTTCTAAGTTCTGGGAAGGATGGGATCCTCTGTTTCTTTGCTTCATCCAAAATGAAGCAAGGCAAAAACATGGAAATACTCAATAAATTAATTTTGGTGAGGAGGATTTGGTTCTTGCAAAGTTGTGACCATGGCCCATGTGACCCATGAAAGCGTTTCTTGGTGATTGGGGTGGGAGGTGGGAGGGAGTCTGTGTCTGGGGAAGGGGCTGGTGGACAGGCAATAGCTATGTATGGCTGCCATTACTTTCTCTTATGCAGCTGGATGGTGTCTTACACCATGCCTGGTTTCTACTGCCCTCTCCATCATTCCTCTTACAGATTCAGGACACTCAACTCATCAGAACCCCAGCCTTTCCAGTCATATGCCTTTCCTGGAGCAGGAAAATAATTCAATTTTATGCATTAACTTAAAAAATGCCCTCTCTCAGAGTCACTAAATTATTACTTATTCCAAATAACAGGCACTGCTATCAGTCATTAAAATGGAGATAGCTTGGTGAAGAGGTTTTGGTCTTTGCAAGGTTGTGACCATGGCCCATGTGACCCACTGACATGGATTTGATTATGTTTTATTTTAGTTTATTCCTGGAAAAGTTTGAATTTCAGCATTTAATTGAGGATATTCCCAAAGTGTGTTCTCACCAAACAAAATAAATTGGAAAGTAAATTCGGTGGGTAATTATTCTTTATATATCTAAAGGGATAATTTAAAGGGGTAACTCACTTGATTCTTTGTGCTGTTCTATTCAGTCCATAAGTCACCTAATTATCTCTAAGATTTCATCATCAATAACATAGGGACTCTGTGGGTAAGCACTCAGTACATTAAATATTACCTAAATTATTCATACCCATCTCATAGCTTTGTTGTGAATATACAATAAGACAATAGATGTCAAGGCTTAAACTAATGCTGAATATAAAAGCGTTCAGGAAATATTAGCTTTTGGTGTTATTATCCTTAAGTCTAGTTTGGAAGACAGATGTATAGTTGCATCTTTTCTCCTTTATTCCTCTCCCATGACCAATGCGGGGACCCTGAGAGAACCAGGGTGATCACTTGGCCCTGAGTCATGTTTTGCACCAATAACCATGACATTGACTCCACTTAACTCTTTCCAGAGGATTTTTGCTTCTTCCTTGGATGCCATATGTAGCACTGTCCACCGCTGTTAAGGCGACCCACATTTCTGACTGAGTGTCCATGATAAGAGAAACAGCTTCTCCTGGAGAATGTATCTCTTTGTCTGGAGACAGACGGATCTAAAATTAGTGGGAAAAGAAAACCTCTTAGTGTGAGATTATATCATCACTCAGGAGGAACTCAGACTGGGGATAGGGTTGGCATCTCACCTGGAGCTGTTGGCCACACTTCTCTTCAATATTTAGGAAGACTGAGTCAGACACTAATTCTGCTGTCTGCTCCACTGTGATAATGTAGTAGACGAGGAGATGGGCTGTAGGAACCATGTGCTGAGTCACAGGAAGTTTTAAAGTTTGGTAAGATGAGCCTGGGAGTTTCTTCTCTGTGCCAAAGTGTACAATTTTGCCCTTAGATGAAATCTAAAAATACGTGGCAACAAGTAAACATCGAGCATGGGCTTAATGTTGGCTTAGTAATTGAGCAGATATAATAAGAGAAGCATAAGCACCTGAATGTAATCAATGCAATGGATTTTTCCCTTTGTAAATAAGGCATATTCTTATGTAACGCAGGCAAGACCTAGCAGTCGGTTGCTTGGTAATGCTCTGGTTAGCCATGAAACATTGCTGTGGTCACTGACTAGTCTGGAGACTTAAAGATGCTCTGGTGGAACCTTTGACATTGGGCCATGGCAAGATTATAAAGCTAGGGGTCAGCAGCCCTTGAATAAATCCTAAACCTACCTGTCACTACTTACAGGCAGGGCTGGTCATTCAACTTTTCCAATCTACTCCATTGTCTGCTGAACTTAAGAAAGTGTGAGGTTCTGTTGGGAGTATTTGTGAATGTGCTTTATAAACTGTAAAGTGGAACATAAATCATTCATTCACTAAATGTCAATTGTGTCGGGTAAGGAGTCATTTTAAGGATTCTTTGCATAAGTAAAAAAAAAAGCGTTCCAAATAGACTAGATGCAAGTAAGATATTACGGGACTTACCAAGTAAACATAGTGTGCAATTTTGTCAACATATGGACTTTTAGGGGTAACAGTTATGCTCAGTTTCTCTCCCACAAGTGAGCTCTTGTAACTGTCTGTCCAGCTAAGAGAAAGGAAGCTCTGGCTGGGTGATGAGTAGGTCACTGCTCGATAGTCACTGCTGGCCTGGTACTCTTCTGGAAGACCTGGGTCATCTGTTCTAACCTAAAACAGATTGTGCCAAACACACACACACACACACACACACAAAAAAAAACACTGATCCTGAACTTCGCATCAGTGTGATAATGGTGGTGACAGTGATGTTAGGGTTACAAAATCCTTGTGGCAGTAGAAAGTGGGGTGTTAGGAAGCTACAAACCATCCAGCATGCCAGAGTTTGGGGTGTGCTGGGAAAAGTGGTGAGCAGTATTTGGAGAGGACAGAGGGACAAGGTTAATCAAGATCAGAGGTGTGCTTGGGATGATCACTCTGTCTCTCTGCCACAATGAGAGGAGTGACAGAGAAGAGCATGAGGAACTAGGTGGCCACTGGGGCTATCCACTGAACTAGGGCACCTGGGAGGAGTCCAGGTTTGAAGTTGGCAGAACTTCTTTAGTTTCAGACAAAATAATGTTTATGCTTTTTTGAACCATCCAATAAAAAGATAAAATCAGAAGAATGAGAAGTTATATTCCATTTATGTATAATGTATCAAAATACATTCTACTGTCATGTATAACTAGTTAGAACAACAATAACAAAAAGATATGGAGAAGGCAAAGTCTGAAAGACTCTTGAGTATCTGAGATGTGTCTTTACCATAAGGATAATCTTTTGTGTGTGGTGCTAGAAATTGAACCTAGGGCCTTAGACATGCAAGGCAAGCACTCTACCAACTGAGCTATGTCCCCAGCCCCTCCTCACCATAAGGAATAGGAGTAAATGGGATCACTGAAGAAGTCTATCAAATAAGAATGTGTCACTTGAAAAGAGAGGAGGGTCTGACCAGATCCCTGAGGTTAGAGGACAAGCAAGCAATCATTGGTCCATAATGGAGGCTATAAAGAACAAAGAAGAGAAATGAAAACCAAGAAAACTTGGAGTGACAGAGGATGTTTGAAGAAGAATGTGTTAGTTAATTGACAGGTTGTTTGAAGAAAAACGTGTTAGTTTCTTGCGTTCTAGGAAAACGCAAGGAAGAGAAGGAGCAAACATTATTCAGTGATTTTAGCAAGTAGCTTATGAGTAACCTATGCAAGAGCAGTTTCAGTGGAGTGGTGGGAACTGAAGACAGATCTCTTGTTGGAGGGGACCTGGAAGGGAGAAAGGAAATGTAGGTGATTCTCAATGGAGTTTCCATGTGATATTGGGGAGAAATGATGATAGCTGCAAATAACAGAAAAGAGAAGATTCTGCTAGAATTCTTGCATTCCACTGGTGGGTTCTTAGTTCCAGATTTGGATAATATTGTGTTTACCCCAAGAAAAAATTCCTGAAAACAAAATCAATGGACTGAGGCCTTTACTGAATGTCGATTACACAATACTTATATATCTTCTGTTCATATAGGTCAAATGTTTTAAAGCAGATCACTGGAATTACATATAAAATCTTCTCCATCTGTCCTGTACAATAGCTACCACACAGACTAATATTAGGCAACAAATGAGAATTCTACTCACATGAAACTCCAAGGCTGACACACCAGGGGAAATGTCAACCATAAACGAAGCAACTCCACGATGATCTGTTGTACTTTTCATTGGATCCAGATCTTTGCTTTCCTGAGTTGCACCCACTATTTTTGCTTTCAAGATTACTGTATTCCCTCCTACAACATGGCCAATGACATCCCTCATCTGTACCTGGTGGACCAAATCAATTCTAAGAGTTAACATTTATTATTTTACATCACAAACATTCTAAAACAATTCCCTCCTTTGTTGCCAAGCACAGACTTTATGGGATTTAACTCAAGAGTCAGATGCATGTCTCAAAGCATTTTCACCCCTCTGGGCATGTGTGATGTGTATTACATTTAATTCAATTCAATGCACACTTATTGAATGTTTGAGAAAAGCAGGGCACTTGCTATGTGTTGGTACGTAAGCCATGGGCTGGGTGAACTTACTACCAGGCCTGGATCTCAGCTCTTGTTTTCCATCACAGCCTTGCTGGCTGTCATGTCCTATTCCTCACCCCGCTACCATTCTTTTCTCCATTCCAATGTCTACACTGGAGGTCACACAGGAACAAAATTTGAGACTTCCCCCCCTTTGTCCTGGCATAGACAAAGCAACCTAAAAGTAAATAGGGAAATTCAACCATATTAGCTATTCTTACCAACTAACCTTGATGGAATATGGAATCCCAGGCTTCAGAGACAGAGGAGTTGCAACCAAATGCAGGGTGTAGGGAGAGAGGACATATTTGACATCCGTTACTTTGGTTCCTTTGAAGAATCTACCTAATGGAATAATGTGCATTGTGTTGAGAATTTGGCAAGTACAGTAGAGTATCATGATCTTTGTGGTGCCTGTTCTGTTCCTATTTATTTCTTCACTTGGATAAGGATAAGAAATTAGTCCATTGTTGGTCACTTCAAACATAAGAATTAACCTAAGTAGAAATGATTTTCTGTGGCCACTCTGGAAAAGCCCGTCACTCTATGACCTGATAAAGTGGTTTTTAGGAGGTTGGTAAAATGCCCATTCATCTGTTTCAAATATTGTGTTCTGTTCCAGATCATTTATCCCACTTTCTTTCTTTCTTTTTTTCTTCAAATGAGCAGAGCCTCATGCCCTCAAGGAATTGGCAATCCTGCTAGAAAGGATAGTCAGTTTTGAACAACTATTTCTAATTTCCAATACAACATTTGTAGGCCGTGTTGTAAAAGATATGTGTTAAATATTTAATAGTATGTAATCAATATACAAATGACCCAGGGATGTTTTCCTAATGTGAATGATTTTACCATCTGACTTATTCAAGTAAAATTTCCAGGTACCACTACTTTTAATTTTTAATAACACAAAAAGTCATACAATACTATCTCATCTACATGGAATTAACAGGTCACCAATGCTGAAAGATGTTTTTCATCAGAATTTCTCTCACATTTATCTAGTGAGCAATATTTTTGTGAACCGTATCTGGTAACTGCACTTGCCCAAAATGAACCAGTAGTGAGTGACAGATTTCTATCCAAAATTTTGGAATAAGAAAGAACTCTGGGAAGTGAATGTATATATTAGTTTAGGAACTGACCTGTACGTTCTTGTACTTTCACAAAAATATTAAGGTATTTGTTGTTTAAATCTTGTAGACTTTTGTATGGCAGGTTTTTAATTGCCTTTGATGTATTAAAATTTACTTGTGCAATTCCATTGATCAGCTGTTTTTTTTAAAGGGGAACAAAAAGTTACAAGATAGATTAGAGCAGAACTCACAGAGAAGGAATAACAAATTGTGCTCTTTTCAGCCTGCAAAATCTCTACTTGGCAACGATGTTCTGGTTGAAGCTCATGGTAATACAAAACACAACCTTGATTCTTTGAGGTATATTCAAAACTGATTAATATAATATTTAGATAATTTCTTTTAAGCCTGAAGGCTCAGGCCATGTTGCAGGATCATGGAGAAAGAACTCTGGCTTAAAATTTTTGATTCAAAATTATGTATAATATTCAGAATCTGAGTCTCTAATTTGGGTACCATTTTCTATCTGAGGGTACCTTGTCCAAAGTCCAAGATTTCATATTCAAATGACATAAATTGCCTACAAAAAATAGATTTTAACTACTCAGCCTTCCAAACTGAAAACAAATGTCACTTTAACCTTTCTATTTCCAACAGTGGAAGCTCCCAAAGCCCAAAGTATTATAGTTCAGAGTTTTTTAGTTCTATGAGCATTTAGGGGTGAAAACCCACTTTACAACTCTATTCTCTGGTGACTTGCTCCCAGTTTGTTTCTGTGAATGAACTCCCTTACCTGTGCCTTTTGGATTGCTTCAGGCATCTCTTCTTTTCTAGGATCCTCTAAATCATTTCTTATTGCAAAAATGACAGAAACCTCAGCTTCAGTTACATTCTGATTATGAGAATATCTATCAAAGAGAATAATTAACTTCTTTTGATTAAGCCATCAGGGTAATGAGATAAGATAAAACACAGCCATGGGAAAATTGCAATTTGCTCTTAAAACATATTCATATGGAGTTTTATATTTCATTTTACACTCTGTAGTGGTAGAACAAAAATAAGTATTGTTCCCATGGGCATGAGAGAGAATTGAGTCCCAGAGGATGGAAAGAACTTGCTAACATCCCACTGTTGTTATGCTTATAATGAGTTAGTGAAGAACTGAACGCAGCACCCGGAGTTTTGTAAGGGACCACACTGCTGTCATGACTATAACACCATGTGGCAACAATAGGGACCCACTCCCTGCTTCTCCTTTTACCAAGGGGACAACATCAAACATTTGGAGTATGTTATTTTTAGTTTAGACCCATTTTTGCCTTTTGAGTTCAAGAAAAACATGAATTTTCCCTATTTAAATATAAAATAGGGACGCCAGTATCCCCAAAGACAATTTTCCATAGCGCATCTGCCAAGTAGGATTTATGGGCTAATTCAATCAATTCTATAGATGATTTTGATGATTAAGTTGTATGATCAATTAATATTAACTAGGCCGCGAGTATCAAAGTATATGTGGATATTTTCATGTAGTTTTGATACCTGACCATGTTATTTAATTTTATTTGCTGAAGAAACTAAGAATAACAGCAAGAGTCAGCAAAAACACTTCAGCCAACTCTTTTGGACCCATTTCCCACAACTATCACATTAATCATAAAGGTATTTATTTACTTATTCTTTTTACACTGAGCCTCAGAATCTTTCTCCAAAAAGGGTCCCAGACAAGCACTACCAATTAGTCATTTTGACTCTTGAAATGAAACCTGTTTTCCATAGAGGAACTATAAGAATCTGAAAATTAAAAAAGTTTTTACCTAGCATTTATAGTGATCTTGAAGTCCTCAAAGTTTTCGTGGCTGATATAGTAATTTTCTGGTTGTACTAAGATAGAGAAGTGTGGTTTTTCCAAATACACACCTAAGTAAAAACCAAACAAAAATAAACAAAACCCCCAAAAGCAAGATGGTTGAAACTACAAATATATATCTTAAGCAAGAAATGTCTTGTTACAATGGAACAGATGAAAACCACCAGCATCAGTATTCTTCCCTGGTCATGACCATCATTAATATCCCCGGAATCCTTATGATCTTCCCATCAGTGATTGGCAGCTTTCTGCTCCAAAACCCTGTCATGTACTAAACCACATATTATATGGTGCTGAGGATGGAACCCAGCAACTCTCACGTGCTAGGTGAGCACTCTACTGCTGAGCCACAGTCCCAGCCCCTCACTACTTAAGCTTTTTAAACCATGTTTTCTGCCCACTGGGTTGTCAAGAGGAAGAGAGGTATTTATATTTAAGGGATAAGAACAAGTGCACATAAAAATTTAAAACGTTCAATGTGCTGAAGCCACAGCAACAAAATACCCTCAGAGCAGGGGCTCAATAAGGTCACAGACCTGGTCTTGCTTCTCTGTGTCAACCTTCCCCCCAGTGCCTTTCATATAGTAAGTTTTTGATAAATACTTATTAAATTGGAAATTCCTTGGTATTTAGCAATTCTCTTCCATTCCTGATCTAAAACATGAATATAAATCTCAAATTCTCATCTTTTCCTTATGTCCATTTGAGAAGTGGTGTTAGACCACCCAGCCCTATCTACTGCCATGCACAGCTCTGAAGTCTGTTCAACCCTAAAGGAGGAGACTGCCCAATAGGAGCAAGGGGGTGGTGAGGGGCTGGCTCCACCTGTTCAGGATGTTGTTCTCTAGGTCAGAGAAAATTGCCCTGGAGGGAGTAGGCAAAACCAGAGCAGGGAGAGTTAATAAACAACTCCAAAGCCGAGTTTGGGTGTTTCTGAGGGTACTTTGTTGCTGTGGCTTTTAGCACATTGAATGTTTTAAATTTTTATGTGTACTTGCTCTTATCCCTTAAATATAAATACCTCTCTTCCTCTCATCAACCTGGTGGTCAGAAAACATGGTTTAAAAACCTTAAATAACAGGAGCTGGGGCGGGGCATCAGCGGTAGAGTGATCACCTAGCACATGGGAGGCTCTGGGTTTGACCCGCAGCACCACATAAAAATAAATAAATAAAAATAAAGGTATAAAAATATTTTTAAAAAAGCTTAAATAGCAACTTTACATACAAATTAGTGTTTTAGGAAATTCTTATGAGAGATTAATAGGAGTCACTTATAAGTTAATTATTAGTATAATAAATATGACTATTTCCAAAGTAAATGTTTATTTTCTTCCCACACATCATCATTTTCCAAACACACAAGCAATTTTTTTAAGCTGAAGGGTTCAAAGGTAGCATTCTGGTTCTCTGACCAAACAAAGTCGTTGTGAGAACCTGGACACTAGGGCATTGAAGTGGACAATCTCTTACAATGTTAGAGAACCATGGATCTTGCAAGGATTTTGCCTTGTCTTCTCCTCCCATTGATTTGACCACCCACACAACCACGACAAGGAAACTAGGCACAAAGAGTTCAGTGAGCACATTACAGTGAACCAGATGGACAGTACTCTGACTCCCAGTTCACCTCTGACCATCACACCTCACCACCTTCTTTACTCTTTACTAAATTTTTATTCCACAAAGTTATTGAGAACTATTTTTAAAAAAAAAAAACACATTCACATTGGGAATCTCAGTAATTTTTGAGAAATTACCATGTCTTTTAATTTCAAAATCTGCAGTTCCTATTGTTGTGAAGTCCTCTTTGTAGTTAGCTTTAATTGTCCACAAACCGTATCTGTGAAAGCATCACATTTAAAATTGTAGGTAATATCAGATAATATGACTTTAGTTCACTCATTGGTTGTAGCTAATATTCAAAGGAGCAGTTACTATGGGCCATGCACTAAAGCTTTACACATGTTAACTGTCTTAATCTTCATAAAAATGCTGTGGAATAGGTTGTATTATTATATCATAATAAACTTGAGCTCCAGAGAGGTGAGTGACTTTCCCAAGGACATATGGCTAGTAGGTGATGGAGCAGGACTCAAACTTGGTCATTCTTGCTACAAAACCACAACTCCATTGAATGACCCTGAGTTCTGCATATGCCAATCAATGTATCATATTAGAAAGAACTATTAAAATTATTAAAAAACATATGTTTTAAGAAAAATTGTTACACCCAAAATTTATTTCCATATTACTCTTTTTCTAGTAGATTATAGTATATCTTTAACTAGATTCAATTGAAGAACTAACCCAAAGGCTGAATCATATCCATAAATATATATATATATATACTATAGAGTATATATTATACATATATAGTATATATTCAGCATATATATACATATATATCTATATATGTACACATATTATTTTTAGTTTAGACCCATTTTTGCTTTTTGAGTTCAATAAAAACATGAATACACACACACACACACACATACACACACACACACACACACACACTGTATATACTAGATAGTTTGCCAGAAAATCAAGACTACATTTTTAGGACCAATTGATCAAGTGAAACCTACCTAAATGAGACAAATAAAGAGTTTTTAAAAGTTTACAGCTCAAGTCCAGTGATAGGGTAGAAACAAAGAAGAAGGATGAGTCTTTCCCTCCAAGAGATCTGGTTCCCATTTCTGTCCCACCATTTAATTGTGTGACTATATCTTCAAAATGGGAAGATGAAAGTTCTAGCAGAGTGCTTGGCACAGGGTAGGAGATCCGTATGTCAATTCCTGGGGCTTATTGAAGAGTCCCAAATTGTACTTCAAAATATTTTCCAAGTACGAGAAATTGGAACTAAAATGTCAAAGAAATTATTTATAAGAGAGGGTAAAGACACGAAGATGGACATCTTCTATTTGTATTCCCTCCGCTTTTTTTCCCCATTGTTCTGTCAGCATTTGGGGGGTGGGGACAGTATTCCCAGTTTCCACTGTCTAGACTTTGTTGTGGAAGGTGCTCTGTAAATAGAGCAGACTGGCTTGGTTCTCAGAGGGAAACACACTGTCAGGCCCCCTGCCTTGATGCAGGAAAGCCCAGCAGGCTCCACCTTCCCTTAGGTTAGGACACTCACTAGACCTAAAAAAACAGCCAAAACCAGAATTTCTTTCCATCAGCAGCTTTCAGTGACATGTAAATGACTCCATGGACTGTTCAATAGCCCCAAATGGGCTTCACTGTTTTCAAGAGAGAGTTAACCTGCAAATAATATAACAATACTTAGGATGAGATGGGATCTTGAAGTCAGGAAAAGTGATAATTCCAGTAGCATTTCTGTCTTCCCCCACAGCAACTTCTGACCCTTCTGGATCCTTTGAGTGAAAAGAAAAACAAAAATACAAGTTTAATGTTTTTCTTTTTTTTTTTTAACAACTTGTAAATACAGAATCCACACATAAACATTATATGTGATTGATAGTTCTTATAAAAAATACCCGCTAATATGTTCTAAGAAACATTGTTGGAACTTAGCAAGTGCAAAGTTGATATACACTGAGGCAATGACCGGCCTCAATTGGACTTGTTGGCAAAGACTATCTTCTAAGACAAAAGGCATATTTTAAATAGGCATAAGTAGTACCACAAATATTTAAGATAATATTAAATAAATTCTCAGCAGACTCTCCCCCCACTTCCTCCTTTCTGAAGAGAACATCTGGAATGATCTTCCTTCAACACTGTCTCTCCAACACTTCCTCCATCCTGTCTCTGCCATGGCCCAAGAGCTCCCTTGGCTCTCTGCTGTCTTTGGTGTCTGGACATGCCACAGCCATTGCCTCCGACCTCTTAACGTCTGCTTTCCCTGTGAGGCCAGACATCACCTCTTCCACAGGTTCCTTCACCACAACTTCCCAAACATAATATACAGCAATTCGCCAAAGCTGCCGGCATCTCTCCCTAAAGCATTTGCAGGCCAGTCCACTGGGGCAAGCCTCTACCATAGCCATCTCCCCATGTCTTGCTTCCTCCTGACTCTAGACCTCTACTTCTGCATTCCACCAGAGACACCGCCCAGCTTCTGTCCAAGCCCCTCTCAGGACTCATCCTTGTCCTTAGTAATTGTCCCCAGAGGGGGGTGTTCATCTGCAGCACTGCCTCCCCTTCAAGCTGATCTGCCCGTGGTCCTACATCCTCCCTTGTTTGGCTTGCTGAGTTACTTACGTGTGCTGTGCTGGCCTTCTAAACTCAAATGCTCGTGGAGGGTCGTACTCCCTGGTCCCCCAAACAAGTGGAGAGAGGCTAAGTGCTGGGTCTCAGGAGACAAACAGACAGACCTGAGCTTGAGTCCTGGTTTAGCCAATTATTATCAGCGGGTTGTCAAGGTTATTTGATTTCCCTAAACGTTAGTCTACTCATCTATAAAATGGGGACAATGACACTGACTTTTGAAGATTGTCATCACAGTATAATGCATTCATGGCCTTCTCCCAGGTACCACATTTTATGCTTCTACAACCCTGGCTGCATCTTCCCCTGACACAGATGGCAAGAGGATTCAGACTGATTAGCTGACATACTTTATAGATGGGGACACCAAAAAAGTATTCTTTAATGGAAACATAAAAGCATATTTCAACCAAAAATTTTAAATTTTCAATGAATATGAGAAAATTATAGAATTGCCAGGTTCTAGCCACAGTAGCTGCTGAATAAATTCTTACTGCCATTTAATATTAAATAAATTAATGCCATTTACCATGAGTTTTGTAAGAATGAAAATTCTTTATCCATATCATAGAAATCCCAGGGTTAAATTTTGTTTTAAATTAATGTTATACTTACTATAAAAGTCAAGATAACTTCTTTTTGAGATGGTTTTAGGTTTTCATCCAATGAATAAACTCTAACTTTTACTGTAAGAAAAAATGTCATAGTTAGAAACTTCATTCAACTGTAAATGATCTGACAATATCATTGACACTCTCCACAAGGTCCATGGAATTTAAAATAAAAATTGGAAAGCCCAAAGCATAAAATCCAAGCTTCAAAGAAAAGATGAAAAAGATGAATTAAGATGAATCCTAACTTTATCACAAAGTTGGAAAAATATCCTTTTCACAAAAAAGTACTGAATGAATTATTTAAATATTTCTCATTATGCATTTAAAATGTAAATTGACATAGTAAGAACTATTTTTACCCAACTTTGCATTCTTTTAAATTGGAGACTGAACCAAGGTGCACTTTACCACTGAGCTATATCCCCAGACCTTTCTTTATTGATTTTTAAATTTTGAGATAGGTTCTCACTAAGTTGCGCAGGCGAACCTCAAACTTGGGATCCTCCTACCTCAGCTTCTTGAGTAACTAGGATCACAGGTGTGTGCCACTGTGTCTAGCACTCAACTTATGTATTTTTAAACCACTGCTAGATAAGAAAGACTGCAGCTCACTGCTATCTGAAATTTTTAGAGGAAAAACTGTGAAGCAGTAAATTCTGTCAACAGAATGCGTCAATAGGGCATTTTGTCTAACTTGCAAGATGTAAGTGAAAAATCTCAATTTCTCAAGGTTTGACTACTTATTTTTATACCTTAAACACATGGTCATCCTCTGCCTTAGTGTCCAGGAGACTGTTCAAAGCCTGTCTCAGATCATGTGTGCTGGCGGGACTCTTGTCCTCTTGCTAAAATGATTTCCATCATATTTCACCTAATTGGCATCATCACCATCTCTATTCTATGTCCTATTTTATAGAATTCTTGAACTTAGAAGTCAGTTATAATAAATGGAAAATGCAAATCTTCATACCTGCTATCTGCAAAAGAAATGTCAGGCTCTTAAAAAAATTGTTTTGGAAGAAGCTGGGCATCATTCTAAAAAATGCCTTTCTTAATTCTGCTCTAAAAAAATATGCTCATATTTGTTTGTTCTTTGTATTTATAATTTGCAATTTAATCTTCAGTGTATCAACTCTTTACTTTTGTGTACGATATAAATTATGATATTGTCTTCTTTTTCCCCTAAATATAAGCCAGTTGTTCTCAAACATTCATCAAATCATCCCACTCTTCCCCCATGGATTAAAATTCCCTCTCTGTTGTACCTTGCTCATCGGAATAGTAAACAGATCTGTCTGTTTGAATGAAAAGAAACCCAGTGTCGTATCGCAGTGGAATTTTTGATGCTTTTGAAAAATGGGCAGATACAACTTCTAAATATACATTTGAAACTGCATTTGGCCCTCCAGATAAATCTTCTGGTTTTATCTGTTTAAAAAAATAGGCAATGGAAGAATATTATATAAACATCCTAAAATAATAAAAGGAAATTAGGTATCTATTCTAGTAATTTGAATCATTGTTTATATCTTACAAAAAAAATTTTGTAAAATAAAATGGTACATTTATTCTTCTACCAAAACACTTTCATACATTAGTTTCTTATAAAATTTAGTTGGAAACAGTTATTTTAAAACATTGCTCTAAATTAATGTCTATTAAAAACTACAATCACTGAAAAAATTCAATTTTTAATAGATGAAATACTCAAAAGTCATTAGGAAAATATCAAAAATTCAAAAGCTTGTCTGAAATGGAGGCAGAGAAGAATGGAGGATTCACATGTCAGGTAGACAGTGAACTAAAATACTTATCACGTGGCAGTGGAAATGAAGAAAGTATTCTTTATACTTATAATTATATTTGTACTTAAGCTGAAAATCTGAATCTTTTTCTTATTTTTTTTTGTGTCTCCTGGTCATTTCATAATTGGTATGCAACCTTTCTTCAAATATATCACATTTGCTTAGTATATTTTATGATAATAAACACTTCTCTAATTTTCCTTAAACACTGTACACAAATTTCTTTGAAAGAAAATTTGTTTGGTCCATATCCAATGAGAAAGTATAAACAGTCTATCATAGATACATATTTTAAGAAAAAAATTACTGTTTCAATAAACATGGAATTAAAATGTTTTAGTTCATATTTTTGGAAAACAAATGCTCAAAATGATCTCCATTTATTTCTCTAAAATTTTAAAAACAGGACCAAACCTTGTGTGTGTGTGTGTGTGTGTGTGTGTGGTGTATTATATTCTTTTAACGTAACATAAAGCTTAAATATCTAAATTATCTCTTCCTAGCATTTATCTTATAAATTTTGAAACAGCTATATATGTTGATTATTTAGTTTTACTCCTGTTACCAAATATTTTCATCTTAATACCCTTCATTCAGTTTTACATTTCCTTACATTGACTCCAAATTAGAAATACTCTCCACTTAACATGTCCCATTACTTATAAATACATTGGTTATGACATATTCACATCAACAGAGCATGACATGTCACATTTTGTACCCACACATATAAAATGGAACAATGTACCATCTCTTTGTTATATTTTATAAATGAACATTTTACATAAAAGAAAGCATGAGATGAATACCTACAATTAAGTTTGCAGAGTTTTGGAATTCATTTTCTGGAGACAAATTTACTTGGCCAAAAGAATATGTAAAACTTTTATCAGGATAACTTTTAATAGCAATGGTCACATCAAATGATTCTCTGTATCCATAAACCTGAATTACTACATTTTCAGAGGCTCCAACATAGAATGCTTTAGGTGCTGAGATGACATATCTGTTGAAATAATAAAATTATGCAGTCAATCTGTTGATAAAAGATCATTTTTAATGCATTTCACTTAGGAGAATCCATATAAATTGTCAATGTTCCTTAAACTTAGCAATATATTTTTTATTTCTCAAAATGTCTTTAGCTATGGTAAAGCCAGGATAGCTTCCATAAAGCATCCTAAGAATGAGATTTCAGGAAGACAGGCAAAAGCTATTTTGATTAGTTACATTCAGGAGAAGGTTTAAGGTTCCCTGAAAGAAGTGCAAATAAAGATCACAGTTCTTCTATCTTTTGAAGAATCCATTAAAAAAAAAATACCAATCAGGAAGTTACTCTTTGGGCGGGACAGAGGTAACAGCCTGAGCAAAAGATAAAGTATGAGAATACAAGTCATGCACAGCTCACAAAATACTTATGTTAAAACACGGAGTAGCAGCTTTGGACACCACAGGAAAGAAGAAATTCACCTGGAGCTCTCGGAAAGTCGAAAGTTAATCTCATATAGCACTGATTGAATTCTGCCCTCTGTAAAAATACAACCAAGATACATTTCAAATGAAAATGGCATTCTTCACTTACATTTGCGTCTGTCCCCAGCTTCTCCCCAAGCAGAAAAAAAGACAGAGCATGCTTAAAATGTCCATGCCTGAGGGAGCAGTAGGTTATTGACACAATCTCTCTTGAAATAACACTCCTTCTGTGAACTCTGCTGGAAGAATTTGGTTAAATTGGCCCTAAGGTTAATTATTAATGTCAAATAGTGGAATCATTGAGAGGGAAATCTCCAAATTTAAATGCCAACCTTTTAATGTCCCCAGGTAATTCTGGAATTCAGAGGAGAAACTCAATTTTGATACAGTGTAAAACGGTAAAATACTCAAATGCTTATCTCTAGGAAAATGTTTCAAAGCTGGACACAGATACAAACTATCTGGGGGCTGGTCTGGTGGTGTGCATTTTCTGGGTGTAGTAGAGGCCATTGACCCCCTGACTAGATCTCCCTTTCTGGGCTATTATACCCACCTTTCAGGTGCAAAGTTTTGGCTACCAAAGTTTCCTTACTCTGAACTTCTCCAAGTAATTCAGCTCCGTCATGGAAGACAGCTTGCCCAGAAATGTCTTAGAAGGTTCTGCTTCTAGGGAAACACTCTAAATTTAGGGAACATGGTGTAAGATGGTCATCCTGGACTCCATGCAGAATGTCTCATGGCTGGAGATGTTTGTGAGGCTTCTCTGAAATGATTCCTGATTGAACTAGGTTCCAAGAGGCCTGTAAGATCCTCTGTAGAACAGATATGATGTCCCAACGCAACCTTCCAAATGCTGAGATGTTCCCAGGAACTGCTGGGGTGGGTCCAGGTTAGGGTGATGTGTTTTGTCACTGCTTCGTCACTTGTATCTTTATCCTCCCACCAGACTATAATCTCTATGAGAACCAGGGGCAAGGTCTAACACATACAATGGGGTCATCCTCCAAAACTTATGGAAGTGCCATAAAAGACACCTGGGTCCTTGTCCAATTGTAGTATAATGAATGAATGATAAATAGGTCAGAGTGATGTTGAAAGTTAGGCTGAAGGTCAATTTTATATTGCCTTGAATTTCATGCTAAGAAATTTGGACTTCATTCTGTATATAATGGAAAATTTTGGCCTTGCTGCTCAGATCCTAAAGATGTCATCCTCTAGGATCTACTTATGTTTTTAATTCATCAAAAGGATAGACAGCTAGTATATGCTATGCAAAGTAATAATGAAATTATTCTTCAAGATAAAATTCAAGCAAGATGAATAAAAACCTGGGATGTCAAACATTCATTCTTAACAGTAACTTTTTAAATGATCTATCATGACAGCAGTAGATATTGATGTTGGGTTAATCAAGAGTCTCACAACTACAAAGCTAGACTAATGGGATTGTGTGAGTAGTGAATGAACATCCTCATGCAAGTGATGTTGTGTATATTTATGCACATCTTCTGAACTAGGCTGATATTTAAACCAGTCTTTGAGTTTTGAACCAAATCAAACAGGTTATTTCAGACACAGACACAGTGATAAGAAAATTACTACTCAATGATGCACTGAACAAGATGATATAATGTAAAAAGACCTAAAGATCAATTGGTACAACAGATAAATCTAGCCTTAATCCACTCCGGGACATTTCCAGATAAATAGTGAAAGAAAAGACTCTTATTTCTGATGAAAATGATTGCAGCTAGGCTTTAAATTTTGGCTAACTGAAACCATTTTAAAGGAAAAAACAAAACTTCATTTCAAAGGCATGGTTCATATTGGATCAGCACTTCTTATACAAATCTAAAAATTTTGGCCACTGAAAGACAATTTTTGTTTCTTGCTTTGTACTCTTTCCCAGGCATGGACTCACATTGTCAACAAGAGAGAGCAAACACAGTGACAAAGATTTGCAGCCAAAAAATTCTGGTAAAATTTCACACTGTGATTAGTAATTGTGTAACATAGGCCACAAATATAGAACATTCTCAAATACCATAACTTTCAGAGTTGTTTCTCCCAACCTGGTTACAAATGGGAGGCAAAAAGTAATAGTGGTAAGAATGTCTTAACGATTCTCAATCACAGCATGATTGACATTTTGTATGGAATGATTCCTTCTTATGGGCAGCTACCCTGTGCATTGAAGGCTGCCTAGAAGCAAGCCTGGCCTCTCCCCATTAGAAGTCATTAGAACTTCTGAGTCATGACAACAAAATGTCCCTGACTTTAGCAAATATTCCCAGCTTGGGGCAGTCCCTGAGTGAAAATCACTGAGTTGCTATATGCTTGGCTTAGAATTTAAAGGCAGATGGGAAAGTACTTACCTGTGTTCCTATGGAAGATGCAGAACTCAGCAGGCTCCTCATCATGCTATTTGACTATTTTAAGTAACTATGGAAAAATGTTAACCCCTTTCATTTCTTTCCTGAGGAGGAATCATCACTGTAAATACCATTTCTCTGCTGATGACTTCCACATTTATATCTCCAGTAGGAACCTCTCCCCTTAAAGTTGTAGTGCCCCAGGACTCAGGACTCAGACCCCTGTTCTGTATAAATTCACTCGTTAAGCAATTGTATCCAATTGCATCCCTTGGGATACAATCTATACATGCTAACACCTCTTCATCTAATCTCCTGAATCTCCCTCCTGAACAACTGACTGTATATCTAACTGCCTTACTAAATAACTTTTGTATCTAATTACCATATTAAACTCAGTCTATGCAAAACTGAATCAACCAAGATCTTCCCTCTCCAACATGGAAAACAGAGTGTTACTAGATATATGAGGACACCTCCAACATGGAAGACCAGGAACAAAATATTCAGTAATAAAAACAAACTTGGAGAAAATAGAGACTGTGATAATGAAAAGGAAGATGATTCCAACCCCACAAAAACAAAACAAAAATCTTCTTCATTATTTTATTCATAAAGATAGGGGAAGATAAAAAAGATAAGGGAATATGTTGCATCCATGAAGCAAGGACGGCTACCATAAAAAAGAAACAGTGAGATAACAAAACGTGTTCTTGGATATTAAAAACATGACAGCATAAATTTTGAATTTGGAAGATTAAGTGGAGTAACTCTTCAAAAAAAAAGCAAAAAAGACAAACAATTGATTTGAAAAAAAAGGGACCCAGAATAGCCAACACAGTCTGCAACAAAAAGAGCAACATTGGAGGCATAGCCATACTGGACCTTAAATTAAGCCACAGAGCTACAGTAACAAAAACAGCATGGTACTGGCACCAAAACAGGCATGAAAACCAATGGGGTAGAATAGAGGACACAGAGATAAATCCACATAGATAAAGTCATCTAATACTAGATAAACTTGCCAAAAACATACATTGAAGAAAAGATAGCAGTTTTAATAAATGTTGCTGGGAAAACAGGATATCCAAATGTAGAAGAATGAAACTTGACCCCTTTCTCTAACCTGCACAAAAGTTGACTCAAAGTGGAGCAAAGACCCAGGAATTAGACCAGAACTCTGCAACTGATAGAAGAAAATGTAAGCCCAATACTCCAACATATTGGCACAGGCATGGACTTCCTAAACAAGACTCCTAAAGTGCAAGCAATAAAACCAAAAATTAATAAATAGGATGGCATCAAATTAAAAAACTCTGCACAGCAAGGGAAAAAATTGAGAGTATGAGAAGACAGCTCATAGAATAGGAGAAGATTTTTGTCACCTGCTCCTCAGATAGGGCATTAATCTCCTGGATATATAAAGAACACAAAAAACTTAACAAGAAAAAAAACAAATAACCCAGTTAATAAATGGGCAAAAGAACTAAACAGACACTTCTAAAAAGAAGAAATACAAATTACCAAAAAAACATATGAAAAATGTTCAACATCACTAACAATCAGGGAAATGCATATCAGAACCACATTGAGATTTCATTTCATTCCAGTCCCAGGATATACAAAGAACTCAAAAGGCTTAACACCAGAAAAACAAATAATTCAGTTAATAAATGGGCAAAGGAACTGAACAAACACTTCACAAAGAAATATGAATGAGCAAAAAAAAATATGAAAAAATGTTCAACATCTCTAGCAGTTAGAAAAATGCAAATTAAAACTGCACTGAGATTCCACCTCACTCCAGTCAGAATGGCAATTATGAAAACTACAAGTAACCATAAATGTTGGCAAGGATGTTGGAAGGAAGGTACTCTCATACATTGTTGGTGGGACTGCAAATTGGTGCAACCACTCTGGAAAGCAGTATGGAGATTCCTTGGAAAACTTGGAATGGAGCCATCATTTGACCCAGTTATCCCACTCCTCAGTCTATCCCCAAAGGAATTAAAAAATAGCATAATACAGTGATGTAGCCACATAAATGTTTATAACAGCTCAATTCACAATAGCCAAGCTATGAAATCAATCTGGGTGTCCTTCAACAGATGAATAGATGAAGAAAATGTGGTATATATATACAAAGGAATATTACTCAGCCATAAAGAAGAATGAAATAATGGCATTTTCTGGTAAATTGATGGAAGTGGAGTATATCATGCTAAATGAAATAAGCCAATCCCAAAAAACCAAAGGCTAAATGTTTTCTCTGATTTGTGGATGCTATCCCTCTGGGGAGAAGAATAATAGAAATCCATTGGATTAGACAAAGGGCAATGAAAAGAAGGGAAAGGAGAGAGGAATAGGAAAGATAGTAGAATTAATAGTAGAAAGACATAACTTTCCTAGCTTTGTATTTGAATATATGTCCAGAGTAACTCTGCGTTATGTGTAACTACAAGAGTGGGATCCTAAACAGAATGTTATACTCTATATATGTATAATTTGCCCAAATGGTTTGGATGTGATGTATCCCCCAAAAACTCACATGTGAGACAATGCAAGAAGGTTCAGAGGAGAAATGATTGGGTTGTGAGAGTCTTAACCCAATCAGTGAATTAATCCCCTGATAGGGATTAACTGAGTGGTAACTGAAGTGGTAGGGTATGGCTGGAGGAGGTGGGAATTGGGGGCATGGCTTTGGGCTATATATTTGTATCTGGCAAGTGGAGATCTCTCTGCTTTCTGATCATCATGTGAGTTGCTACCCTCTGCTACACTCTTCCACCATGTTGTTTAGCC